CCTGGCTCTTCCCTCATTCTTTCCCTCATGTCTGTGTCTTTTAAGGGTCATAACAATGCTCTTACACCAATAATGAGTACAAGTGAGGAGACAAATGTAGAATAAAAGAAGAGGAAGGAGAAACTGATTGTGAATTACATTAAAGAAAAGACAGTGCTTAAGCATATTATAATTAATTTCAGAATCCAAGAAGCCTGACATTTAAGGTAAACAAAATAATTCAGTTGCTAGTTGTAGAGCTTTGATTATGCTATTCATTCTATTTTTAATTAGTAGTACACCACCCAACCCTTCACACCCCCCCACCAAAAAAAAAAAGGGCAAAATGGAAGGAAAAACATAATTATTCTCCTTTTTTCTCAAATGGGTTTTATGCTGGGCTCATCTAGTTTTGTATGGTGGTTCCATCTGTTTTACTCAGCATATGATACATTTCTTGTCAGATGAGGCTCCAGAATTCCTTCTTGTTAATAAGGAGCCAGAGCCTGATCCTGAAGATCCAACAAAGCTGGTTTACACTGAAGATCCCCTTATACTGCACACTCGAACTGGAAGGTTGATCAATTATATAGAAGATGAAAAATATGGGGTCCGACTATTTTGGCAGCCACCTTTGAAAGAAGGTGAAGATGTTGACGCAGAGAAAGCTGAATTTCTACCCCTTGGTTTTGACGAGTTTTATGGACAGGAAGAGGTTAAGGAAAAGGAAAATATGTGGAAAAGTCTTATAGTGGCAGTAGAAAATGCATTGAAGCCAGTGCTCGATAAACTAGAGAAGTGGAGTGAAGAGAAGAAAAAAGCAAGTGAGATGAAGCTGCAGCTTATTGAGAAAGAACTTGAACTTATTGAGGCTGAATTGTGTTTAGAAGAGGCCCTTGAGGATTTGGATGAGAAATTGAAGATGAGAGAGAAAGAGGAGGAGAAAAAGGCAGAAATGAGACTGCAGCAAGATGAAGATTCTTCTCTGGTGGCCAAGCAAGAGGAAAAAGCTAGCAATCTGGAGGAGGTTGGTGAAGATGAAGATGGGTATGAAGAAGATGAGGAAGAAGATGATGTTATACCATCCAGTTTTGGATCTGTTGCAGACCAGGAATCAAAAATGAATGATCAGAAGGGAAAGAAGCCTGGGGAATCACCATTTTCATCATCTTCGCTGTCATTTGCTTCTTTTAGCCTTGTTTCAGCAGTGAGCTCTACTTAAAATTCTTTCCCCTCTCTCTATCTCTCTCTCTTAATTCCTCTCATTAAGTTGGATAACATCTTTTGTTTTGCAGGTTCCATCTAGATTGCAACAATCAATTCTGTCATTTAAACGTGGTAGATGGCCGCCACATTCAGCTCCTTCCCCGTGTGTTGAAAACTCAAATGTTTCCTCAAAAGCAATAGATTCAGTCAGTTTCCCTCCATTGTCTGGTCAGAAAGGGTGCTCCAGAGCGATTAGGCAAGAGTATCAGAAGTCTCAACCAAGAAATCGCAACTGTAGTAGCATTTCTCAATTAAACAGGTCCCTATGTAAGACTCTTTCATGTCCTCCAGCTAGCAGCAGTGCCAAAAGATGCCTAAAAGCACAAAGAACAGACATGCATGGTTGGCTGCATGCACCCCCAAATGAGGATTTAGACAGTATTTTATGCTTGCACATGCCTTTGTTATCTGATTCACAAGAATTGTTCATTAGGATTTGTTGATTGTATATCCAACGCCTCCCACAAGACTGGATAAGGGTTGTCCTTGGAAAGTTTAGATGTGGAGGGTATTTATTTTTTCTTCCAATGAAACCAACATGAGAAATGAATCAGATCCTTGTAATATTGTTGCTGTTTCAACTTTCAAGGATCAAATTTTGGTAATCGGGATCTGAAAGACTGGTTTCCAATGATCAATTTTTCAATGTCGGAATTTGAACAATAAATTGTTTTGGTTATCAGCATTAGGACTTCAACGAAAAACTAATCATTCTCTTTTGTTGTCGAAATTTGAATGATTGGTTCTTTTTATTGTCAGATTTGAATAATTAAATTAAAAATTAAAATTAATAACTTAAAATGACAAAAAAAAAAAAACCATTTAAGAAGAAAATAGATAATTTTTAAATTACCGCACATGAATTGCATATCTGTTTCTTTATCTTCTTTCTTATCCCACTAGCTACGTAATAGCTCATTAGTACCTCACAAATTTGCTTAATTGATAATTCCCGCTTGTTTATCCACACGAGTTTTTTTGTTAACTAAATTCTTGATTACTTCAAAAAAAAATAGTTATAAGTTATATTTAAAGTTTAAATTTTAAAATTAGATTAGAGAAATTATTTTTTTAAAATACTTCAAGTTAATGTGCTGTGTAGGTAATAAAACTTGATTAAATCTTAAAAAGACATTACTTTTTTTAAATACATTAGATTAATGTGATTTACATAATATTATTAATAAACCAATGACTTATTAATTCAAATGAAAAGAATTTATTCTTTTAAAATTTTAAATTTAAATTTGTGAATAAAAAAATATATGATAGAAAAACTTTTATTTATAAAATACGACATAACCTGATTACAAATTAATCAAAAATAATATTATTAATGAAAATAATAATAATTTTTATATTTTTATTATTAATTAATATAAAATAATACAATAATTACATGTCTAACTTATATTTATATTAAAAAATTCCTTTTTTGAATGTACCACCAGGTGAACGTGTATTGTAGGTACAAAAAGAAAAATGAAAAAAAATACCCAGGCTGCTCAAAGATGTGGCCTTAACCCGTCCCAATTCTGGAGAACAAAAAGGAAGATAAATACCCTTTTTATCTGTTAAAAAACTGAATTAACTCAAGTAAGAACTCTAATGTTCTCAGCAATTTTAGGGTTAACTATGATACAAAAATCCAACGAAAAGAAATTCACACAGACAAATTTCATCCCAACTCCTTTAAATTTCAAAATCTGAAGATAACTTTAAGAAGCCAAAAAAATTATCTCTTATTCTAAATACATTCTAAATATTTAAGTCTGAATATATCTTTTAAAAATGGCAACAAATTTTTCTATTGGTTCAAGTAATTAAACCGTAATTAATTACTTAGATTTAAAAGGATACCCATCCCTTCTTCCCACAATAAACCAAAGTTACTAGTAACGGAAAAACCCACATCCAGAAACAGAGCCTCTCTTTAAAAAAACAAACTTCCTCCACCATTGACAACTCAGTACGTGGAATTCCTCCATTGATGTAAGTTTGAGAGCTTTTTATATGTTTATTTATGATATATATTTTCTGTTCACGTTAATGTTGGCAAAAAGAAAGAAAACAAAAAAATGGCCTGCTTTTGGGTTTTAGTGAAAAAGCCCCTATTTTCCGATTTGCCTTTAACTGTTTTTTAGCAGAGTTTCTGTAGTTATGGGTTTCTAGCAAGATGCATGCCTGATTACTTGTTTCTTGAGTGCTAGGTTAAACAGACAGCAATGTCTGTGAGCCAAGTTTACATCAGGAGAGTTAAACTTACCCAGATGGATAAGGGCATGGAGGAGGAGGGGGAAGACGAAGCTGGAAAGTGTTGGATGCCGGGGACACCCAAAAAGCAATCTCCAGTGAAACTGCAAAACGTTTATCTTAAAAGGCAGTCCAGAGAGCATACCAATTCAGAAACAAAGGCCAATTCTTCTGATGGAAAGAGTTGTGTATTTGATCCTAGTGTCAGCAAGGAACATGCAGAAAAAGGGGTTTCCCTGAGTCCTGCTTCCATGAATTTTTCAGATGAAAAGAGTTGTGTACTTGATCGTTGCGTGGTGGCAATGGTGGGCAAGGACGGGACACCCCAGAGTCCAATGAATACTTCGGATGAAAAAGGTTTTCTTTTTAATCCTTGTACTGCAACAATTGGCAAGGAAGAGGAAAAAATTGGTCCAGGAGAAAGCACTGGCATGATAGATTTGAACAAGAGTATTTGGGGCTTGCATGATGATGCTGATTCTGCTTACATGGACTCTGGAGAACAAGAAATGGTCTTGCATCCAGACCAAAAATCTTTGCACAGCTTTGACCTGCCAAAAGATACCAACAATAGTAAGTTTTTAAGTGATTATAGCTCTATCATCGTATATAAAATGTAGTCATTATCAGTAAAATTAGAAGAAGCTGTGTGGCCTCTCTAATATAATGAATCAGTGTTAACATGTGAAATTTGACGTTTGCAGGTGTTGAATTATGTTGTGCACCTATTCCTGATTCAAGAGATACATGGAAAGCATCAATGACCCACAATGTTCTTGGGGGTGAATGTTTTGTGTTGTCAGCGAACCAGTTCTGTCCAAGAAAACAAAACCTTTCTCCTCTGGAACATGTTATCTCAGGTCCAGATGAGCTTAGTACAGAAACTGTTGTCTGTGCTGGGGACAGTAACAATGTATTACCATCAGGGGAGACAGTTACACCAGCTGATTTAGGTATGTTACCATTAGATATTTTCTTTCTAGAGAGACCAGATTAAACTTTTCTTTGCTCAGAGTAGTTAGCTTCCAACAGTTTCCTTTCAAGTATGAACAGATTGTTTTAATAAGGTGACATGGTTTGTTTCAGATGATAGACAAACTCTAAAAGAGGGATCAACCCCAAGAGCATCACAGGACAAGAAAACAAGAAAGAAACCCAAAAGAAAAAGGCATAGGCCCAAAGTAGTTGTTGACGTGGGACCAAAAAAGAATACCATCAATCCAAAGCTTGCAACTCCGAAAAAAGCTAAAGAGAAGAAGCCTCCTCAGCGAAGAAAAAATGTAAGGAAAACCAAGGACACCAAGGACAAAAGGTCGCACCCAGAGAATTTGAAGAGTGAGGGCACAAACTCAAGGTTGGTTGACACCTATGACTACACATGTCATGAAAATATCACAATAATATCAGTTCAGGGGAGTACTGTACCAGTGGTGCAGCCTAATGACCTTCCATCTAGCAATAGCCTACAACTGGCTGAAGCTGAACAACTAGAAACCTTGACAGCAAGGGCGAGTGGCAGCGGGAAACTAGCTGCAAAGACAAGTAAGAAAAGATCAAGGAGGAGAAGGAAATTAAACTTGTTCAGCAATCTCTGGCCTTCAACTGCAAGAAGAATTGGCAAGAAGAGAAAGGTGATAGTATATGGTTGGCGTAGTGTAAATGGTGTCCGTAGTAACTCAAGACGTTCCAAGAGAAAACCATCACTTAAATTCACCCCACTAGGGCTCACGCAGGCTGAGCTTGCTAACCTATACCAATGGGAAAACTGGAGTGAGTTGACTCAGCAGCTTGAGGTTACTAACTTATACCAATTAGAAAACTGGAACCGGTCCCCAGTTGCCAGTCCAGAATGCAACCATTTGGAACAATCTATTTTCAATTCAAAGCTTTACAGTTTTGAAAATCCTCCTATGTCAATTCCACCATGCAATGATTGTCCAAGAAAAGAATTTGTGTTTGAGAAACTCTCTAGTCCTGAGGTTTGCACTTTTACTTTCCAATTCATTCTCGCATTTTTTGCTTGAGAATGTTGGATGAATTCTTATTACCTCCAATTATTTCTTCAGAAACCCACCGAGCTAGATTGGGTTGCTTATCTGAACACTGCGTCCAATCTGATGATACCTGATGCATATGGATTATCATCACTATGCAACTCTGCCACAGGGGACTGGTTTCAATTCCAGAGGCCAGGTACACTTCATAAGGCTTTTTTAGGTTCTACTGTTGAAAATATTTTTGTTTTGTTATATATGGACATCAAAACCATGATATCAGTATGCTTTGGTTCCCTCTAGTGTTACTTTAAATTTCCATTGTGAAGAAGAATTTGTGTTTGATATTTAGGACTGTGGCTATAAGTGTTTCAATTTTACCATCATCTGACTTGCTTCCTTTGGTAAAGTTCAATGATTGTATTAGTTTTTCTTGAGTTTTTCCTTCTTACCTCTCTCCCTTTCCGCGTGTTTGCATTTGACATGCATGCCTGCATGAGTGTATTACTTTTCTAAATAATTGATAAAGAAACAGCAATCTCATATTTTGCTTCATGTAGGCACACAAGAAGTTTCAAGTGGTATTCTGGACTTACCTGTGGTGCTAGCTACTCCTTGTGAAACTGAAAGCCAAAGATTTTGGGCTACTCATGGAATGATTCCCTGTCAAGAGAGAATTCCATATCAGTTCTCTTTTGCAAGAAGTACATGCTTTATTGACAACATATCTCATTTTCAAATTTCAAGCACAAGTTACATGTTATCATTCCTATATAACTGATACTGAAGCAGAAATCTTACATTTCATTTTATGTAGGTGCACAAGAAGTTTTATATGAAGATGATTTGAAACTTGTCATTCAGAAACTGCAGTCTTTACGTGTTAGTGATAAAGTTGACAAGCTAAGTAAGCAGAATAAAAATGCACGTCAAAAGAAGAATAAAAATGCTCATGGAAAAAAGAATTTCAAAGCTGTTCCACATCCAGACCAAGGTGCGCATGGTGCAGTTGTTCTATTTAAGCATGGTGAAGTGGTTCCATATCTGAAGCCTAATAAGAAGAAAATTTGGCCCAAAGTTGTTCTGGATTCAGAGACATTAAGACTTTGGAAATGGCTAATGATTACTGATGGTACAAAGACTGAAGAAGATTATATGGATGAAGAAATGGATGAGGAAAAGAAGAAATATTGGAAGGCAGAGCGAGAAAAGTTTCATAGATGGGTAGAAGTTTTCATTGCCCGCCTGCATTTAGTTTTAGGTAAATTCTTGAACCAACAATTACATTATTTACATTATTTCCAATGACGATTACATTATTCTAGGTAATTAGATCTTGGGTCACACGTTTACAAATGCATTATTTTCATTGACAGGGAATAGAGCTTTCCATAAGTGGAATGGTTCAGTGACTGATTCTGTGGGTGGAGTTTTCCTAACTCAAAACGTATCTGATCATCTTTCAAGGTAAACAAAAGTCCTTACATTTATATTTTTCCTTTGATTTAACCTATTT